CCATGTATATAAACGGCTGGATGGGACCAGTGCAGGGGTGGGTTGCCGTTCATAAATGGTGCCCGCCTTTTTAGCCTGTGAGCGCTCCCTGGGAGCGCACAGCACCGCAATCCATTGCCCACTGTGTCACTAATCACTGTACGGGACCTCTGTGTGAGGTCCCGATCATGTGATCACTGATTGGCCAATCAGTGATCACATGAATAGCAGTAAGCAAGATGTCACTTCTGATATCATTACTACTAGTGAAATCTGTGAATGATCACAGAGATCACATGGTACAGGGCTATTCACAACAGCCTTGCACCATGTGACAAGCTGTGACCAATCACAGCTATCACAGTATTTCTCAATAGCTGCAGGAATGCAGCCAGAGAAAAGGAGAAATTATTGCTTTTACAGCCTTTATGGGTGTAAAAGCAATCAGTGTTAAAAAAAAAAAAAAACAGTTCATCACCCCCCACAAGTAGTACAGTGTCAGTATGGTGTCACTGTACTGCTAGGGTGACAGTATGTAAAAAACCAAAAAACAAAACATAAATAATAATATAAACAAAAATACAAATGTAAAAGTTTTTTTTCAAAAATTATAATTTTTGGTTATAAACTAATTAGGGTTTTTTTTTTTTTTTTACTAAAAAGATAGCTGAATACATTTTGGCCAAGATTTATGAAGAAAGATTATTTATTTAAAAACACTTTTTTTTCCAAATTTTTGGACTTTTTCATTTATATAGCAAAAAAATAAAAATCCCAGCGGTGAATAAATACCACCAAAATAAAGTGTTATCTGTGTCAAAAAAATGCAAACAAATTCATATGGGTACAGTGTTGCATGACTGCGCAATTTTCATTCAAAGTGTGACATCGCTGAAAGCTAAAAATTGACCTGGAAAGGAAGGGGGTAAAAGTGTCCGGACTGGAAGGGAGTGAAAGTGTCTGGACTGGAAGGGGGGGGGGGGAAGTGTCTGGACTGGAAGGGCATGAAAGTGTCTGGACTGGAAGGGGGTGAAAGTGTCTGGACAGGAAGGGCGTGAAAGTGTCTGGACTGGAAGGGCGTGAAAGTGTCTGGACTGGAAGGGGGTGAAAGTGTCCGGACTGGAAGGGGGGGAAAGTGTCCGGACTGGAAGGGGGGGGGAAAGTGTCCGGACTGGAAGGGGGGGGGAAAGTGTCCGGACTGGAAGGGGGGGGGGAAGTGTCCGGACTGGAAGGGGGGGGGGGGAAAGTGTCCGGACTGGAAGGGGGGGGGGAAAGTGTCCGGACTGGAAGGGGGGGGGGAAAGTGTCCGGACTGGAAGGGGGGGGGGTAAAAGTGTCCGGACTGGAAGGGGGTGAAAAGTGTCCGGATTGGAAGGGGGTGAAAAGTGTCCGGACTGGAAGGGGGTGAAAAGTGTCCGGACTGGAAGGGGGTGAAAAGTGTTCGGACTGGAAGGGGGGGAAAGTGTCTTGAAGTAGCTAAGGTTCTGTCCTGACTCCATGCCAAACCTCCTGCCTGGGGATTGGCCAGGATCCCTCAAGAGTGCAGACCAGCTGCTCCTCACCCTTGCCCACTGAGTTGTAGAGACTTCTCCAAGTCAGGGGAAAGTATCCGATAGCTGATCTGCAGAGCCTCTCAGTCCTGACCCGATTTTGACCTCACTAACTATCACCCAGGCTGCCTTCTAACTAAAAATTAATTAGCTTTCTTCCCCTAGGAGGGTGCTACACATATATATGCAAATAAAACCGTTCCCTGTATTATTTTCAGCTGTGCGTTTAGCTCTTTGACTGGAGTGTTGCTTTAAAATAAAGCTTAATGAAATTGCCAGGCACTTCAGGAGGCAAGATGTAGCGGGGAGCGTAATGAGTTTACCCGCACGAGTGGCTAAAATTTACCAACTCCGCATCAAAGTGACCTGGAAATACTTTTCAAGCTACCTTTTGCAAAGTCATTTGCATAAAAACCTGTGTCCGCGAGATGATAAAAAGCCCAAAATCAATCACGACTATTGCCATCTTGTGTAATCAAACAGATCGCCCCAGGCAAGACAATTTTGATTTTGACTAATTATTTAATTTTGTTTATTGCTTTTTCCAGAATGGCCTAATAAAATCAGTTCATAATTTCCATCTGTTTTACATAATGAAACAGCAATTCAAAACGGATAGGGTTCGCGGCTTGTTCGCCGCTTAATAGAGACGTGAGAACTGTAAGGTGGCTGATTCTGAACTCATTTCTATGTGGGTAGAAATTCAAATTGCTTTAAGCTTTGCAAATGAAATATATTATTATTATTATCATTATTATATTTAGCTCTAATTTCCAAGTCCACCACAGCAGTTATATAGTAAATATGTAAACGCTTTTACAAAACAGAAAAAAAAAATCTTAGAAAATATTTATTTTCTTTTAACAGTATTATCCATATTAAGCCTTTAGTAAGTAATTGCGGTATAATAAATTGTACTTGCTCTATATTTTAATTTCGTGTTGAATTAAATTGGCCCTAGATGTTTTTTTTTTTTTTTTTTTCAATCAGTGTCCTGAAAAAAAAAAATTGAACAGATTCCTCCATCCACACAAACGAGGTGGATGAGGGAATTCTACGTCCACCGGTGCAGTATGTTATATTACCTCCCAAATAATAACAACTCCCCAGTCATTTTTATATATGTAATAATAACAAATCCCCAATCATTTATAATATATGTAAAAATTAACTCCCCAGTCTTTTTTAAATATATGTAATAATAACTCCCCAGTCTATATGTAATAATTCCCCAGTCATTTTTAATATATTTAATAACAACTCCCCAGTCATTTTTATATATTTAATAATAACTCCCCAGTCATTTTTATATATGTAATACCTCCCAAAACAGAAAAAGGCATACGTTATCTAAAATAAATTCAATTTTTGAATTAAATGTTTAACCGTTTCAATACCGGGCAATTTTACCCCCTTCCTGCCCAGGCCATTTTCCAGGTTTCAGCGCTCTCACACTTTGAATGACAATTGCGCGGTCATACAACATTGTACCCAAACTAAAATTTTATCATTTTCTTCACACAACTAGAGCTTTCTTTTGGTGGTATTTAATCACCGCTGGGGTTTTTATTTTTTGCTAAATTAACAAAAAAAACCCAAAAATTTTGAAAAAAACATGTTTTTCTTTGTTTCTGTTATAAAAGTTTACAAATAAATAATTGTTCTTCATAAAAATTTAGGCCGGGATGTATTCTGCTACATAGAGTTCACAAACTATGGGATAGATCTGAATATTGATCAATCCTGAAGTACTGACAGCCAATCTAATTTCTTGAGGTCCAAGAATGTCATAATAGTACAGATATCCCCAAATGACCCCTTTTTGCAGAGTAGACAGTCCGACGTACTTCATAAGAGGAATGGCGAGTTTTTTGAAGTTGTATTTTTTTTGTCATAACTTTTAGGAAAATTAAAAAATGTAAAAAATTATTTCCACTATTTTTTTTTTTTTACATACTGTCACCAGTGCAGTACAGCGTCATCATATAACTGGCATGGCGGTGAACAGGGACAAGGACTGGTGACCGTATAAAAAAAAAAAATATATATATATATTTTTTTTATTTTTTTATTATTTTTAATTTTTTATTACATTTTTTTAATTTTTTTTTTAAAGATTTTTTTTCATATTTTACTATGACCAAAGTAGTACAATGTTACCATAGTAAAATACGGTAGCTTATTCAAAACTAGTTATTATTACATGTATAAAAATGACTGGGGAGTTGTTATTATTACATATATAAAAATGACTGGGGAGTTATTATTATTCGGGAGTTAATATAACATGCTACACCGGTAATCTCAGCAGTCAGAACACACACTGGTCATTGCGTAGGAAAGGGTTAAGTGGCCCGGTTGCAATGTGACCACTAGAAGGCTCCATTTTCCCTAGACAGGGAGGATATATATGGGGCCGTGTAGTGGGCGTGGGTGTAGTTGGGTGCTGGAGAAGGAAAAGAGAAGTTGTCCCTTGTGCAGGGGCGGACTGACCATTTGGAAACTCGGGCACTGCCCGAGGGCCCGGGGGCCCCATGAGATGCCCCTGGTACCTTTTATTTTCATAGGCTTTTTTTTTGAGTTTGGGCAAGGACACAGGGGCCCCATGATCCCCTATTGCCCGGGGGCCCCATGAGTTGTCAGTCAGCCCCTGCCCTTGTGGGTAACTTGGGGTCCCAACTGGGCAAGATACCAGCTGGCAAGAACAGACTGGGTATCACACACAGAACATCCACCTTCTCTTTGGGCTCAGCCAAGGAAACAGTAGAGATGAGGCACCCCTACAGTAGGGCAAGAGGAGACATCACCTGAATTATGAGTGGTGATGAGAAGACTGACCAGGAACTGTATTGAAGGACTGCTTGGCAAAGGTGTTTGAAACTTTCCTTAATATTTAGTAAAGAAACAAGGAACCCGATGAACTAGATTCTCTTTATTCTGTACTGGTGGACTATGCCCGGGGACCATAAAATGAAGTAGACCTTTGGATTTCAGTAGTGTGGGGGGGAAATTGTTGCTGCCTATACTTGGGGCATTCGGTAATAATAACTCCCTCTGGGAGTGGGGGTTCACGTTAGTGCAGTTGGGCTTGTATTGGCTAATGGTACCCAGGAATCTAAAGGTGGTATTCACATTAACCTGCCCTGCCTACAGGGCCCGGGGCAAGGCAAACAATTTGTGCCCCCTAGCAAGAGAAAAAAGAAAGAAAGAGAGAGACACAGAGAAAGCGGAGATAGAAGGAAGATGGCAGTGCGGGACTGAGCGGGGCAGAATTCTGAGAGCATTCTGCAGGACACCACTGGATCCTCTGAGTTGGTGAGTATCTGAAATGCTCAAAACTAGAGATGAGCGAAGTATTCAAAAATTCAATTCGGCTGATTCGGCGAATTCGAGGAATAAATTTGATTCGATGAGAATATATTCCGCTGCGAATTTAACTTATAAAAAGGGTTTCTAGGCTTCAGAGAGCCTTTTATATTATGTGCAGAACACTGTACACCTTTAATTTAAATGCCCTTGGAGTCTGCTGGGGAAGAGAAATAATACTGACAGTCAGTATGACATGCAGATGAGTGCTGTCGATCTAGAATCACCGCACCAATTCACTCATTTGGGCAGAGGTCACGGGGCGGGGGACGGGGCCAAACCAGAGTGTGGGAGCCACAGTGTGGCCGTGGAGGCAGCAGCAATGGGGAGGGCCATACAGCACCCTATGACAAAAATTGGAACCCAACACAGCAGTGTGAGGAACGACCTGAAAGTGGCCACATGGCAGAGTGTGGCGATGGAGACAGCAGCAATGGGAAGAGGCCGTACAGGGACCCCGATGACACCCACTCTGGACCTGGCAGCAGCATGAGGAGGCGGTACAGGGGCCCATGACAGATTACGGGGCCTGGCAAGCAGCATGAGGTGATCGGTTACGGAAAGGGGCCCATGGCAGAATCTACGGGCCTGGCAGCAGCAATGGAGAGGTCCGTAATCTACCAGGGAACCCCTATGACACACTCTGGAAACACTGGCAGCCTGCTATGAGGAGGCGGTCACAGGGGCCCATGCTAATGATTAACCGGGCCTGCTAGCTGTGCGATGGAGGTGATCGGTGAGCAATGGGAGGTCGTCCATGTGGGACCCATCAACTCTGTGGACCTGGCAGCAGCATGAGGAGGCTCGGTACAGGGGCGCATGAAAGATTCAATAGAGGCCTGGCTAGCAGCACTGGTAGGAGGTACGTCAGCTTCGCTGCACAGTCGGGTGCGTGCTGTTCGCAATACTGTTTGTATCTCATGGAATAACCGGAGTGTGAGGAGCCCTTTAAAGTGGCACTTTCCCGAGTGTGGCGATAAAAACACAGAAAGGGGAGGCCGACAGGGCCCCAAATGAACATTTGGGGAAACCCGGCGGGAAAGCATGAGGAGGGGGTAAAATCCCATGGCAGATTACGGCCTGGCACAGAAAATGGGAGGCCCGTAATCTGCCAGCCCCCTATGACAAAAAAAAAAACCCCCAAACCCAGCATTTGTGGGGAACCTAAAAAAGGGGAAAATGGCGAGTGGGGGCGATGGAGACAGCAGCAATGGGAGGCCGAAACCAGGACCCCCATGAGAACTTGGACCTGGCAGCACCTGAAGGGGGTACGGGGGCCCCCATGGCAATTACGGGCCTGGCAGCGGGCAATGGGGGGGCCCGTAATTTTCCCAGCACCCTTTTAAAAAATTTGGAACCCCCCAAACATTGGGAGGCCCCCTAAAAAGGGGGCACAGGGCAAGTGTGGCAAAGGAGACAGCAGCTTTTGGGAGCCTACGGGGAACCCATGAGACCCCCCGGGGGAACCCCGGCAGCAGCAAAAAGGGGCGGTACGGGGGGCCCATGGAAAGATTACGGGCCTGGCAGCAAAATTTGGGAGGCCCGTAATCTGCCAGAAACCCTATGACAAAATGAAACACCAGAGTGTGAGGAACCTGAAAGTGGCACATGGCAGAGTTGGCGTGGAACAGCACAATGGGGGGCCCTACAGGGACCCATGAGAACTCTGGACGGGCAGCACAGAGGAGGCGGACGGGGGCCCAGGGAGATTCGGGCCGGGCAGCAGCAATGGGGGGCCCGTAATCCCCCAGCACCCTATGAAAAAAGGGAAAACCCCCCCAGCATGGAGGGAGACCTAAAAGTGGCAATGGCAGAGTGTGGCGATGGAGACAGCACAATGGGAGGCCGTACAGGGACCCATGAGAACTCTGGACCTGCACAGCATGAGGAGGGGTGGGGGGGCCCAGGCAATTAGGGGGCCGGCAGCAGAAAATGGGAGGCCCAATCGCCAGCCCCCTAGACAAAAGGAACCACCCGCAGTGTGGGAGCCCTGAAATGGACATGGAAAGGTGTGGCGATGGAGACGCAGCAATGGGAGGCCTACAGGGACCCTTTAACACTCGGGACCGCAGCAGCGGGGAGGGGTAAAGGGGCCCATGGCAATTGGCCTGGCGAAGCGGGGGCCCTAATTAGCCCCTTACAAAAGGCCCAAGGTTAAAAAATACTTTTTGGGGCATGATTCAGGGGGGTTTTAGTCAGTTGTGTCAGGAACGGTGTTTGAAAACCGGGAAAAAATCCACGCCTGATTCATTTTCAAAAAACGTGAGCCCTTTCCCCTTTGGGTGGACAGTCGGTCCTCCGCGAGTTACAATACCCCCCTGCCGCCTAAAACAACCTCCGATGCCACGTAGGCCGGCGATGACAGCCTTTAAAGGGGCAAATTCAGCTATTGGGGGCCAAAGGTCAATTTTCGTTCCCCAGTAGTAAGGGGATTGTCTACCCCCGGTTGGCAGGGTGCTGTCCCTTTTGGGCCCCCAAACCTGTTGTTTGAGGTCCCGCTCCCGGGCCACCCCATGCTGTGCGGGGGCTGGTTATAGTTTTTTCCCACTGGCTTGAAGAAACTACCATCATCGACGCAGATGGGCAGCCCCTGCTGGTGGGCGCCATGCTCCTACCACCCCCCCCCCTCCCTGCTGCCATGGAGGAAAGGAGCGCACAGGGCCCCCATGTCGAGGGGGACGTTGGGCAGAAAGGGAGAGACACTGACTACATAGGGGGGTTTTTATAGTACTTTTTTGGCCTCCCTTCAGCAGGTGTGAAAAAGGCCACCATTTTTGAACGGTACGGGGTCCAACAAGGTGGACACCAAAAGTCATCCCTCGTTGATGTTATTTTTCGGCTGTCCTACCAAGCAACCGAGCATGCTATGGGCCATTTGTGCAAGGAATGCGAGGGCTCCCCCGCCCCATCTCCACAGCAACTGGGCCCCGTGCGTCTTGGGCCCCTGTTCCTCCTCCTCCTCCTTTCCAGATGCTCCTGGCCCCCCACCCTGTCCGCGAGTGGGAAAAACCACCCTTTCACCAATAATTCCTGACCCAATGTCCCCCTCTACCTCCCCCTCTTCTTTTCCCGTTCCTGCCCCCACAGGGGTCATGTGGCGTTGAGGGGATCTACCGCACCCTTACCACCATTGTTAACAGCATTTGTTCCAGGCTGCAACAAGGAAGACGTCGTTCATCCCCTAGTCCTCCGACTCACGAATAGCGTGGCCTCCTCAAGGGGGCCCGAGCAAGCGGCAGGGTCACGCATGAGCTCCAATGGCTGACATCTAAGTTACAACAGGGGGGGTACCTTTATCCGTTGTAACATCAGGGAAATCGGGGATGGCCTTTCGCTGTGTAAAGGCGGTCTAACATGTTTGGGGTTTAATTCCACCTTTTGCAAGTCGCAGATCAGGCGATGCTGTGGAATACCGTTCTGCCGCTGCAGCTCAAG